TGTAGTTTTGTGGTCAGTTAAGAATTTGAGTGCATTTTATATACAGATGTTAGGGCGAATTCCAGCTGCAGTTCCTCCTCTCCCTGGATTTACCACCTAACAATGCAGCGGCTTTCCAGCCTTCAATCTTTGACACCTCCAGCCAGTAAACTGCAGCTTTTTGTCATTCAGCTGCTTGCGGAGTGGCAAGTACCCTCAGGCAAAAAGTCACTAATATGCAAATCCCACACTTAGCTTCCTCTGTTTCTGGTTGGTCTCCAGCGCCTTCAAGTAGTTGTTTTTAAAAATATGTTGTCCAGATTTTATAATTATGTGTGGGTAGGACAGTTCAATCACCTGACCCCCCCCATCTTATTCCTATAGCATTTTATAACTTGGAATTTGATGCCAGCATAAAAAGTTAAAATATTTCACAAAAATATGATTTTGAGGTTGCAAAAAATCAAATTTTTCTGCTGTGACAAATTGGTTGGAATCAAACGCAGCCCCCTCGGCTCCTGCAGCATCACCCCACCTCCTGCAGCATCACCCCGCCAGGAAAAGCATGGCTTTTCCAGTTTGATGCTGTCCCCACCACACCCTGTTGTCTACCCCAGCTAAGGCCCACTGTCAATTTCTTTGTATCATTTTCAAGTCGGTTTTATAGGGCATTGTTTCCAATCAAAGTCTGTTTCAGAGTTTTTCCTTGTACCCCTACTCAAGTGTGGGCCCAGTGGCTTATTCTGTGTGTGACCTACTTGCCTATCCTCTCTTTTCCCTATAATGCTTTTTATCCTCAGAGCTTCTTTTTCTCCAGCGTTCCATGCTCTTAAACATTCTTTGACCTTTTCTCCCCTTCCTCCAACCCTCTCTTTCTTTTCCTTCCTCCATTATTAATAGAGCACCTACTATGTTTTAGCACTGCCGTAGGAGCTGGGGAAATAGCACTGAAGAAAACAGAAAGAAAAAAAAAAAAAGGGCCAGGCAAAGTGGCTCACACCTGTAATCTCAGCACTTTGGGAGGCTGAGGTGGGCTGATTGCTTGGGGCCAGGAGTTTGAGACCAGCCTGGACAACATGGCAAAACCCCATCTCTGCTAAAAATACAAAAATTAGCTGGGCATGGTGGTACACGCCTATAATCCCAGCTGCTTGGGAGGCTGAGGCACAAGACTCACTTGAGCCTGGGAGGCAGAGGTTGCAGTGAGCCGAGATCGCACCACTGCACTCCAGCCTGGGTGTCAGAGTGAGACTCTGTCTCAATTAAAAACAAGACAACAGGAAAAAAAAATGTTTGCCTTCATGGAGTTGATCTATGTGAAGGTAGAATCGTGACCATGAACAATTCATATTATAGCAGTAAGTTCTGAGAAAGATAAAGCTGGGTAAGAGGCTGTAGTAATGGGTGCGCAAATGTTTGTATGTCTTATTCTCTCAGCCCCGAAATAATTTTTCACTGAATGAACAATTCTGTACTTGTTCATGTTTTTCACCCCTCAGGTGGCAGGAAGTGCTTTGTATGGGTCAGTCTTGACTTTATCCACTTCCTAGCTTTGTGATTCAGAAATTCCCCCAGTGCTATGCCTCAATTTCCTCATCAGTAACATAGGGATACGAATATTATCTACCTTTTAGGGTTATTGAGAGGATTAAATGAGTTAATACATGTGAAATGTGTGTTTAACATAGTGCCTGGCATATAGCAAATAACTTCACAAACATTAGCCAATAAAGATATCAATTACCCAACACAATGACTGACACATTGTGAGCAATCAATGAATAGTAATGTAATGGTTACCATTACAAATGACCGTTTGACTTATGGCTTTATGATGTTTCAAAAGCAATGCACATACAGAAGAAACCATACCCACACAACCATTCTGTTTTTCACTTTCAGTACAGTATTTGATAAATTGCATGAGATAGTCAAGACGTTGTTATAAAATAGGCTTTATGTCAGATGACTTTGCCCAACTGTAGGCTAATGTAAGTGTTCTGCGCACATTTAAGATAGGCTAGGCTAAGCTATGATGTTAGGTAGTTTAGGTGTGTTAAATGCATTTTAGACTTACAGTATTTTCAACTTACAAAGGATTTATCAGGAGGTAGCCCCATGCTGAGTCAAAGAGCATCGGTATTTCTCCAGTTCTGAATACTGATATCCAATAGATTGCTTCTCCTTCTACTAGGTCAACAGTATCATCTCCCTTGTTGGAGCTAACAGAAAAAAGCAGTGAGAATCAATAATACAGAAATTACATATTGGCAGCATCATGGAAAACTGCCTGGGAGGAATCCAGTGGGGAGCTGGGGCTGGAGGTAGCTGCTATTGGGAAGGATTCCACTTTTAGTTGTTGTTGTTGATGTGTGAAATAACAATTTGAGAAGTGAGAAAATGCCACGATAGAGCTCCAGGGGCTGGACCGGCTCTATAGACCCAATAGAGTTGAGTCAACATTGGAGATGCTCCAAGAAATGTCCATTCTTTCCTTCCTCTGTCCAACATCACCTTCCATGCCTGCCCAATGTGTTCCTGCCAAAAATGGCTCCTTCCCTTCCTGCCATCTCTGGTGGGCATTATTTGGCTTGGGCTCATTTTCTCTCCATCCCTTAATGAAGTTTGAATTGCCCTCTACTACCAACATATGCTATTTCCCAAATTCTCAGGCAAGCTCAGGGAAGGAGGTGTCAGAGTTCTGCCGGCCTTGCTGGCTTTGATCGATATTTGTCAGAGCCTGGTAGGGCTGCTTTGACTTTGTGTTTCTGAGTTCCTGGTGAGGAGCTGGCTTGCAGGAAACATATCATTAAGACGAGCTGTCAGAACAAACTGCTTTGCAGCCCCAGATTGCTTGTAGGTGGCAGGTCCTGAAGACTTGGGTCCAGGCTCTACCTGAGTGGGTGTTTACCAGGTGCCGTCTGGGGATCCTGAGTCAAGCCACCTCTCTTCTCCCATAGGCCCACTGTGGGCCAGATGTTCTGTTTCCACGAAAACAAATAAGGGACTTGTTCTGTAAAATGGGGATATTGGAACTTTGGCATTTTCCTTCCTCATTATGACTTTATATTGTTATGAAAGGTTTGGCTGTCAATAACAGAGACCCAAGTAACAGTAGCTTCAATAAGGGAGAAGCTTATCTCACTCTCTTGTCACAGTCCAGAGGGACGTGGTACAGGGCTGGCAGGGCAGTTCTGCTCCATGAAGTCTCCAGGTGGCTTGTTACTTCCCTGTGCGTATCTTCCATTTCCCAAGGTTACATCATTGTCCAAGAGGACTGTTACAGCTCCTGCCATCTCGGCTGCATTCCAGTCATCAGGAAGGAGAAAGGACAAAGACAGATTATTCACTTCAAGGCCTCTTCCCAGAAGTTGCAGGCATTTCTTCCACTCACAGCCCTATTGGCCAGCATTGAGTCACATGACTACTCCTAGCTGCAAAGGAAGCTGGGAAATGCAGTCTTTATTTCTACTGGCCATGTGCTCAGCCACAACACATAGCTGCTAGGAATGTGAGCTCTATCACTAACAGAGAAAGAAAAATGGTCACTGGTGGAGAAGTAGCAGGTTGTTTGGAGAAAGTGATACTGCTATGGAAAACATCGTTGAATGAAATCAGAGGACTCATGACTTTGCATTTCAGTCTGTCCTATAACTTTCCCAAGTCTCAATTTCCTTACCTACGAGGTGGGTGATAGTGACTACCTCACAATTTGTGAAGATTAAATGACACGGCATATTGAAAGATACTTCTTAAGTTTGTCTTTCTTTCTTTCCTTCCTTCCTTTCTTTCTTCCTTCCTTCCTTCCTTTCTTTCTTTCTTTCTTTTCTTTCTTTCTTTCTCTTTCTTTCTCTCTCTCTCTCTTTCTTTCTTTCCTTCTTTCTTTCTCTTTCTCTCTCTCTCTTTCTCTCTTTCTTTCTTTCTTTCTTTCTTTCTTTCTTTCTTTCTTTCTTTCTTCTTTCTTTCTTTCTTTCTCCCTCCTTCCTCCTTTCTCTTTCTTTCTTTTTTTAAATTTTTTTTTGAGAAGGAGTTTCACTCTTGTTGCTCAGGCTGGAGTGCAATGGTGTGATCTCAACTCACCGCAACCTCCATCTCCCAGGTTCAAGTGATTCTTCTGCCTCAGCCTACCAAGTAGCTCGGATTACAGGCATGTGCCACTATACATGCATGTAATCCTGGCTAATTTTGTATTTTTAGCAGAGACAAGGTTTCTCCATGTTGGCCAGGCTGGTCTCAAACTCCCAACCTCAGCTGACCCACCTGCCTCGGCCCCTGAAAGTGCTGGCATCACAGGCGTGGGCCACCACATCCGGCCTTCTTAAGCTTCTTAAAATGTCTGCATACGTTTGAGGACACGTTGTGGAAATTCATTTCCAGTGCTGATAATGTGCATATCTAATGTAGGGAGGCCTCTTTATGAAAAAACATGCACCTATCTGCAGGCTTCCCACTTACCTAGGTCCTGGACCTTGTAGATTCTCTGTAGCTGGTGGGCAACAAAAATCATTTGTTATACCTGGGGCCTGTTAGTGTAGGATGTGGCGTCATGAAGTCCAGGTGTGGTACGGGGAATAATTGTAAAGCTTGGTGTGGGTACAATCAGTGCACGAGACAATTTTAGATGGGACACTTGAAACTTTTTTAATAGTGATATGTTTATTTGAACATATTAAGAAAAAAGGAAAACTTGATCAAACTTGGCAATTTAATAGATATTATTGCTTAGGACAAGACTGAATTTTATAAAAAGTGAGTTTATTAATGAAATATTTAAGTAAATAATAATCTAAGTGGTACTTGGCTTTGGTAGAAACTCAGATGGGAATTGCAATTTCAGCTGATACTTTGATTTCAGCCTGGGAAGCCCCTGAGCAGAGGATGCAATTAACCTTTTTTCCTGGACCCCAGACCCGTGGAAACTAGATAATAAATGTGTGTGGTTCTAAGTTGCTGAGTTTGTGGTAATTTGTTATATACCAATAGAAAATTGATATACGCTTCAGCCCGATCGCCATCTAGCCGCCATCATGGATACCAGCTGTGTGCAGCCTATCAAGCTGGTCAGGGTCACCTAGGTCCTGGGCAGGACCCGTTCTCAGGGACAGTGCACGCAGGTGCACATGAATTTATGGATGACGCTCCATCATCCACAACATAAAATGCCCTGTGTGTGCGGGCAACATGCTCCCCCTGTTGGAGTCAGAGTGGGAGACCCAGAGGTTGCGCTGAGTCAGAGTGGGAGGCCAGGAGGTTGCGCTGAGCTTGACGCCTCAGTGGGTCTTGGATGGTGGGTTCAGCCACTTGGCCGATGGGAATGGTGTGTCACAATCTGTGCCTTTATTTTGTGCCACCACACGTAAATTGAGCTGCACCTTTAAATAAAGTGTTTGTGTTGCAAGTTTTTTTTTTTTTTTTTTTTTTTAAACCGACATACATTGTTAGAGGCTTAGACTTGAGGAATGTCACTCACCTAGCAAATTTCTTATAGCAAACCAGGTCCTCCTTTGTAACATGGTGATACCCATTTGTCAGTTAGCAGGAGCAACAGGTGAGGAAATACATGTAAATTCTTACCTAAAGTGAGGAAAATATTGGTCTGAAGAACTGTTGGTTAGAACACAAGAGTTATAGGATAATTCCCACCACTTTTCCCCAGTTTCATGATTCCAGGGATGGCAAACTCTGGCAAATTTCAGTGAAGATTTACAGTATATGACTTGGCAGAACTTCTTTTTCTTTTAAAGATGAGACCTCACCATGTTGCCCAGGGCAGAGCGCAGCGGCTATTCACGGGCACCATCACAACGCACTGCAGCCCCGACCTCCTGGCTCGTGCAGTCCTTCTGCCTCAGCCTCCTGAGGATCTGCGATTACAGACATCCACCACCATACCTGGATGGCAGAACTTTCATTTAATAGCCTAGTTTCTTGACTCAGTTCTTCCTAACCATTTCAAAAGGGTCTGAGCTTGAATACAAGCCTGATGAGACATTGGAGCATGGAAAATTCTGGCCAGCACATCATCTTTTTTAGGGAAAAATGACAGGCTGATGCTTTTGGGTGTGAGGTCAGATGCAAGGACAACTAGGTAACAAAGCCTCCACTGAGCTTCCTGATACAACCTTCTGTCCATGTCTGGGGGAGAAAAAGTGCTCTGCTCAGGATTTTGATGGAATAGCCACTCACGGGATTTCAGATAAAAAGGCTTTTCAAAAGGCCTTGGAAATGATTTCTTAGAGCAAAAAGAAATGGGTGCCCAGCGAGTAGCTTAATCCAGCTTGAGTTTTGCTAATTAGGAAGATTTGATCATTATTCCGGAGTCAGACACGCTGCCGTTGCGCCACGAGGCCACGGGTGATTTGATCATTATTCTAAAGTAACTTCACTGCAGATAAAAGTCACCTGGGTCACTTATTCTAAAAACTTCTCAGATCCCCAATGCCCAGAGAGTCAGATTCGGGAATCTTAGGTAGACGCCAGCTGTCTGCACTTTATCAGGCATCCCAGGTGATTATGATGTCTGCCCGTAACTAAGGCAGGAGGTGCGCTGGCAAATGTCTAGCAGCCAGCTTCTGGGGAGGCGAACCCTGATCTGTAGCGTTTGCAGTTTTCGGAGGCAGAAACACCCCCAGCAAGGCTTATGTCACTGACTGGGTGCAGAATTGGGAAGAAATACGAAGTAGCCCTTCCACCACACAGGTACGCAAACAATCAAATAGATACAAATAACCCTAAGAACATAGAAGGAGTGAAATGCAGTAAAATGATTAGGAAATGCTGGGTTGTAATTATGTACTGTCTTTCTTCTAAATATAATTTATTTAATTCTGTTTATATAATCTGATGGTTAGTAGTGGTTCTGTTTATCAACCGGTTCACAAAATTCCTAAAAATGTAACATTAGGCTTTCCCAAGCCAGGACAAGTCAGATTCAGCACAATGAGTTGGGCCACACTGGTTTGATTCTAAAATAATTGTATGATTTCTGGGGGCAGGGCCAGGCAGCTTAGCTCTAAGAGCTCCCCCGGTGATGCTAATGTTTAGTCAGGGCTGAGAACCACTGACCTGAACCCTCACGACTCAGTGTTTGGCCCCAGGATCTGCTGCATCAACAGAATCTCAGGCCCAGGCCCAGCCGCAGCCCTGCTGAACCAGAACCTGCATTTCGATAAGAACTGCAGGTGATTCCGGTGCAGCACCAATAACGGTAAAGGACTCAGTGATTCGCAAACGCCAGTGTATCTGCACCTGCAGGGCAGAGTCTGGGAAATGCAGATTCCTGGGCTCACCTCTAGCAGTCCCCACTCAGTGAATCTGGGGCTCCAGGGATCTGTATTGGGGTGTGATGGGGTTCCCTATGTGCTTTGAGGCACTTCCTGGTCTGGGAAAGTGCTGGAGATGGTTGGATTCAAACACAGATCTATGGGATGGAAGGGAAAATCTAACAAGAGGAAGAGGAATTCTTAAATCTGCACCCCGTGAATGTCACTAGGTACAGGAGAACAAAAGGATACTGGGAAGAATGCAGGGCGATTTCACGGCCAGGAGGAGCTGCTGTTAAGGGAGACCCCACGCTTGGCCACTCGGGCCGCTCAGGCATGCATGTGCCCAGGTGTGGATGGAACAGCGTGGGGAGTGGAGGGGCATGGACTTGAGAGTCAGGGCCCTGGGTTCGTTTCCCACCCATCACTCATGAGCAGTTTCCCAGCGACTCTGCGCTTTGGCTCGTTCTGCTGTGAAATGGGGGTTATAACCTTTCCCCTCATAGGGGCTTGTTCTGAGAAAACAATGAGATGGTGCATGTAGGCAGCCAGGCACTTGGCAGGCTCAGCCCAGGGTCGCTGCGACTGACTGGATCTCTCTGTGCGTGCCTATGCACACGTGATCATCACTATGGCAATGCAAGATCAGTGGGAGGGGACCATGATGCCACACTGGCTAACCCCAGAACTTTATGCTGAGTTCAAGGGCAAACCAGAAGGCCAGGGGAAGTGGATAGAAACCTGGCTTTTGTTAGAAACGCTCCTAACTAAATAGCACTCCTCTGGGAGGGTAGATTAGAACGGCCAAAGCTACAACCTGCAAAGGACAGAGAACACAAAAGCACATTGTTTCATGATGCTGGGTGAAAGAATAGAGGGAGGTGGGAGGAAATACTGCGTCTCTGTGTTTAGAAGGGGAAACAGATCACTAAGTGAGGTGTCGGAAGGAGTCTATTTTCTTTTCTTTAGTTTTTTCCAGCAAAGATAAGCCACAGGTATATGAAGTCCATGGCATCTTCCAGGTTTCTCAATGAATTGGGCAGATCATTGTGTGGCTTTCACTTTTTTTGTTTTTTGAGACAGGGTCTTGCTCTGTCACTCTGGCTGGAGTGGTGATCACTGCTCACTGCAGCCTCTGCCTCCCTGGGCTCAGGTGATCCTTCCTGCTTGGCTTTCTAAGTAGCTAGGACTACAGGTATGTACCACCATGCCTGGCAAATTTTTTTTTGTACATTATATATATATAATGCAGTTGGGCTTTCATCGTGTTGCCCAAGCTGGTCTTTTAACCAACCATCCACCTTGACTTCCCAAAGTGCTGGGATTACAGGTGTGAGCCACCGCATCTGGGCCATCATGTGGCTTTTAGTCCTTACTTTTAGAAAATGCACAAGAGCAGTCCTTGACTCAGAGGAGCAGATAGGAAGCAGTCTGTGGAGTGGCGGGTCTGGGAATTGAAGGCTGCAGTGAACAGCCACAGGGCACAGGGGATTCAGAGATGGGGGCAAACCTTGGGTAACATCTCACCAGGAAGGCGTTCTTCATGTCTAAGCCCCCAGCTCTGTAAGTAGCTCCTGTTGGCCTGTGGGGTTTTGCAAGGAGAATGGCAATGGGTAGAAAAGGCGCTTGGGGCCGGGTGTGGTGGCGCACATCTGTAATCCCAGCACTTTGGGAGGCCGAGGCAGGCAGATCACGAAGTTAGGAGATCGAGACCATCCTGACCAACATGGTGAAACCTCATCTCTACTAAAATACAGAAAATTAGCTGGGTGTGGTGGCATGCGCCTATAGTCCCAGCTACTCGGGAGGCTAAGGCAGGAGAATCGCTTGAACCCAGGAGGTTGGAGGTTGCAGTGAGCCGAGATCGCACCACTCCACTTTAGCCTGATAACAGAGCAAGAATCCATCTCAAAAAAAAAGTCCACTTACAAAAACCAAGATACC